TGTCACAGAATTAAGTGCAATCAAGAGTAAGATGGGTCTTCCAAAACCATTACTGCCTTTGTTGGGGGGCAGATTGGTGTTATCTGCTGCTCTAATGATAGGTGTGGACGGAATGAGAACTATGCGAACAGGACTTCACAAAGATAGCATAATCCGAGGTTGTCTTGCTCAGAAATCCGACATCTATTTCTTAAATATTTCAATCATTCGTTTTGATGGAAAATTATTCTCCCATTTGGGACAAACAGTTTTATCATAAATAGTACAGCTTCCTATTTCCAGCTACATTTGAGGAAACTTCTTCACATGGAAATGATTAAATTATATCTCATCTTGCTTCAACTAACTAAACACTAGCTTAGTTTACATATTCTTCGCTCCGCCAATTCGGCCCGATAAGTACAATACCTGCAAAACCATGTAAATGATGAGCAAAAAACCTGGTCAAATGCCCTAACTAGGGACAGTCAGGTAGCTGGAAAATGAGTAAATGCCACTGACAACTATTCCATAGCAAACAGCATCTTAAAGACTGCTTGATTCTGTCAGTGCCGATTTTTTGGTGGCAGTGATGAATACAAAGTTCATGTTTGTTTGACAAAAAGTGGTGTATCACAAGCCGCTACACGTCGCGCTCTCCAACACGTGCCACCGCAACTGTGGATCACCCAAACGAGTGGCGTTGTGAATAAACCACTGGGTTTTAAATGAGGGCGCACAAACCATTAACTGTGCCTGCATATACTAGTAAAATCAGGACTATCCACATAAAAGCAGGATTAGGTAAAATGCCGTTGAAAATGTTTGATCTAACAAGATCAAATAAAAAATCCTAACTTCTATTGTCTTTCATCGACCTCAGACCCACATAGTTTTGCACAGATTTACGCAATGCTAAACAGGCAATCCTACGTTGATTGTTTTTGGAATTCTCATTCCTTTTCACAGATGGTTTAAAAAACAATATTCACCAAAAATTCACCTCGTCACCTACCCTCATCCGTTCGAAGGACATCACTGTCATCCGTTTGATGCTTCTGTGTGAAGGAAAGTAAATAACCTGGGTACGCAGCAGCTCCTGTTAACTCTTGCGGTTCTTCTGCACCCTCCGCATGAACTGGTTTAATGGGGCCCGAAGGACGACCCTGCTTGGAGCGACGAAGTTGCCGAATTTTTCTAGAAGCTGGCATTGTTGAGTAAAGACGCGACGCTGCACAGAAAAGATAAGAACAGTGCATACGGGTCCATAAAATATTGTCCAGCTTAGTCACTTTGCAAAATCCAAGCATGTAGCAATAATTCCCTTCCGATGATGATTTTGATTAGTTTGAAGAAGACTCCACCAGTTGCAGGCGAAGGCATAGTTCAGCATTTACATACAATGGTAGCAGTGTTTTGAAAAGATCGACCAATCACGGATGCATACCCTGCTCGTCACCTTTGCTGCAGAAGGGCAGAATGTCGTCATTATAGTGC